CTTTTATTGTAAAATTTTGCAACACGGTTTTGATGTGCCACGTTTCTTATTCTAGACATCTCCCTGACCTCTTCTACGAAGTCCAGGTTTTCTCTCAAAAGTTGCTCATTGTTGAGATCGTCATGCCGGCCTACTCGATCGAATGGCAATCCAACCTCTACTGGGATGACGGCTTCAGCTCCATAGGCTAGGCTGAAAGGGGTTTCGCCCGTGGCCGAGCTTGGTGTGGTGCGACAAGACCAAAGTACTTTGTTGAGCTCGTCAACCCAATTAGAATGCGCAGCCAAAACACGTGTCCTGAGGCCTCGCAAGACGATTTTATTGGCGGACTCGGCTTGCCCGTTGGACTGTGGAGTATACACGGATGTCAATGTGAGCTCGATGCCATAGTCGTTACAAAACGATCTCAGTGCTGCGGCTCGGAACTGTGGCCCATTATCGGCGATAATCCGCTTAGGTATGCCGAACCTGCACAATATGGAATTGAACAAGAATTCTTCGATTTTCCTTTCTGTTGTCGTGGATAACGGTTTAGCTTCTATCCACTTGGTGAAGTAATCCACCGCAACGACCAGGAAAGTGCAGCTCCTTTGCCTTTGACGAAGGGGCCGAGCAGGTCGACGCCCCATTGAGCAAAAGGCCAGGGAGACGTAAGAGATGATAGCATTTCCCCTGGCATGTGGATATCATCAGCATTGAACTGGCAGGTCGGGCACTTTTTGACATAGTCATGTGCGTCTTCGACCATAGTGGGCCAATAATAACCATGTCTCAGTAGTTTCCGAGCCAAAGTTCTGCCACCGATGTGCGTGCCACATATTCCCTCGTGAACTTCTTTCACGGCGTATTCAGCCTCGTAAGGAGTAAGGCAGCGTAATAGGGGCATTGAGGCTGCTCGCTTGTAGAGCTGGTTATCTAACACAATGAAATGTGCCGCCCTGCGTTTAATCACCTTTGCAGCGGACTGGTCTTCGGGTAGCTCGCCACTTTGTAGATAATTCATAAGCGGGGTGGTCCAGCTCGGTGTAGAGGGTCTGTACTCAACAATTGGCACTCGACTGTGAAATCAGTGTAGCTCGGTGCGTCAAGCACCTCGACGATTGTTGATCTTTGAGGGTTAATGTCCTGCGAGGAAGCCAACTTTGACAGCTCGTCAGCTCGCCGGTTATCTG